GGTGCTGGAAACTGGGAAACAATGAGATTTTCTGTGCTGGCTGGGCTGAACCAGGGGTTCTTGAGCCCATTTGTTGCACTTGAATGTCCCACGCCTTCCAGTGGACTCCATGTGGGTGAAGGCAGATGTCCACCGCAACTGTGAATCGTTCTTCTGCGTGCATCCTAGACATGCTAATTAGGGACGTTAGAAACGCCTACAGAGATATTTGCCGGAAGCTGTTTGCAATTGGAATAGTGTGGCTCGGAGTAAGAGCGTGTGTAATGGTGTGGATCCCACCCATGAGCTCCCCAAGGGTTTGTGGCTTGGAATTGTCGGGAATGACCGTTCCTTCGCTGCGGGGGTTCCCGACAACCTCCATGACAACCAGCCAAACATGGAAACTGGGAGTGAGGTCGATTCCTGTGACGCTTCCTCTTCTGAGCCCATCTGGGGCCCGTGTTGGCTGCGGGGTTGGGGAGGTAAGACTCACCGGAGCCCCAGCCTGGCTCGGCAGCATCTGCAAACATCCCCGGTTCAGGCGAGGTGGGGCTCCAGAGCCGTACGTGGGGGGAGGCGAGGGTTTGGAAACAAAGAGCGGAGCGAGGAGTCAGATTTCTCATGGTTCATGCGAACGCGTTGACGGTTCAACCCCGATTCCTTGATGCCTTTTGCAATCTGAGCGCTCTCACTCTTTGCTGGCCGCTCAAGACAAGGAGGCGTGAGCAGTAACCCAACCCAGCTCTGCGGAGATAAGAAATCTCCAGGTTGAATGCGCTGAGCACAGTCTGCTTTGAAATTAATGGGGCAAGGAAGAAAAATTAGATCCGGGCACGGATGAGGCTGTTGGTAGATGCTGGGAGAGATGCTGATGTCTGTCCTGTGCTGTTCACTGTTTGCAAAACTCTACGTGGAGAGGTTAAGGCCATGAGCTGACATGGTTTTTGCAGCTACAAGGGGTTGGTAAAGGCTCAGCTATGCATGGCCCTGCTGTGTTAAAAGTTTCTTCTATAGAGGTGAAAAGATTCTGACCGATTCCCAAAATAAGGCCTGATCCAGTATTTCTTGCAATGTCTTCAATGAAAACTTGACCCGCTGATGGAAAGGTGGAACTCATCCATGTCCTACCGCTGGGCGCTGTTATATGGCTGAATTTGCTTGAAAGAGGGAAGAGGAAGAAATCTCAGCTTTCAGCGAGGAAAGCACCTCGTCTCTGTTTTTCTAAGGAAGAGACCAGCAAAGCCCAAATTTCTGATGGATGACTACCTGTGATATGGGGTTCCTGGAAGATGGGATCCCATCCGTAGACTGTAAAAGGGCTTTAGACATCTCCTCAGTGTGCATATTTCCTTAATAAAATTTGATTGGTGCCTCATTAAAAATTTAATAATTTGACGATTAAAATTAGCAACAGATGGGAGCTGGAGCGCAGCCAGGCTTTCTGGACTCCAGACTGCAATTTCCTTGGCTTCATTCCCTCCGAAGAAGTCATCTACATAGGAAAATCTATTTTTGTCAATTATTTGTTTAAAAGGGGGTGTTCTCCTTACAATCGCGCTTTCATTATCGATCTCAAGGAATTCTTGCCGCAGCGACGTGACGTGAGAGGTGTGAGTTTACCCCTATCCTCTTTGGACAGTGCTGCCACGCCTCGATTTTGGGTTTATTTATGGGATCTGACTTTCTAAGTCAATCAGAGCCCTTTGTCGGTGCAACCATGATGAGACGTGTTCTTCTCCACACCCTTTTGACTAGGAAAGGGGGAACCAACCTCTCTTTATTAGATGTTTCTGCCTTTTCCTAGGGTTAAGAAGGCTTCAGAATAGCTCATAAAAGATGTGATATTTCACTGTAAGCTCACAGGCACCGCCACGCTCAGAGCTGCAGCCCACCCAACCCCAGTTATCCAACACAGAGGCTCCAGCATGGCACCGAACCAAAACCAACTCTACAATTTAACTTACAGAGCGGTAAGAGCCTGGATTCAGGGCCCCTGCCTGAGATGACTTTGTGCCTCACAGCTCTGGCAGCGTCCATAAGCTAATGTCTGGGGAACAGTATAGGAACTATATGATCCTCCTCTATCAGGCATCAGTAACTCACAATCTTTGACAATTCACATCCTTCTCTCTTAGAATAATTCCCCTAAACTGATATGTTGCCTGAAGAACTACTTTCCTTAATTTATCTTGAGCCAGCATCACTTCTTATATACTTGGGATACCTCCTGGTCCTGGCTCTACAAGTCTGTTCCTCCTTAAGCCACTCCTAATTTTGTCCCCCGCTATCAGGTCTTCCTCCAGGTGTTTCTTTTTCCCACTGACAGCTGCTAACCAGCCCAGCTCTTCCTCATACATAAGCCCTTCCACACCTTAGAGCATCCTTCTTGCCCTTTTCTGGTCCTTTCCCAATTCTACAGGCTGCTGGCTAGGACTGCGAGGATGGGAGCAAACCATGAGTTTAGGGATGATGCTTTTTATTTTAGGGATGGTGGGGGTTTTATATATATTTATTTATTTAAAAAAACTTTTGCTCTCTGTTCCTCTCCTAGTACTTCAGCCCTGTACTCCTTTTTGTCTTTATGCAGTTGATTTCTCCATTGAAATAGGGTCGTAAAGCCATTTTTTTCATTGTTCTTTGGGTCTGGTTGTTGAGCAGATTGAAATAGTTCACTGGTGTGGTTATAAAGAGCTCTCCTTGGTATTTTCCACAAGGTTGAAAACTTGAGCAAGAGCCTCAGTTTTACGAAAAAAAAAAAAAAAAAGGCAACGGGGGAGAACACAGCTCAAACTTATGGATTTCCTTCTTAGGAATAAAGTAGAACAAACTAAAGGATGACACTTGGCATGGCAAGAGACATTAATGAGGACCATGTGCTTTGGTATCTGGTTAAAATGGGGGTCAAAACCCAAAAGACGATGATTTGGTAACTCACCATTGCAAACATAGTACGTATCTCTGATTTCCAAACAAAGGCATTTTTACGAGATCGTGTCACCTTTCTACCAACGTAGCTTCAAAACCATTGCCCTTTTCTTCCCCCCTCAAATCCCTTCTGCTATTTCCCTCTCTGACATCCACACACCAAACTCCTTTTGACACTCTTATCATCATTAATTTCTGACTGTGCTCCCAGCTGCTTGGGAAATACAAATCAGAGGGAGCATTAAGCTGGAAAGAAGCAATTATTGTGCTAATTGATTCTTTCCCAGAGGTAGAGGAGGATTTCTTGGGTGGTTTCCATGTAGCTTATCCTACCCCTGATACCAGGTGGGACAATTAGAACCTAGATGAACCTCACACAGATTTTCCTCAACACAAAAAACAGCAGCGAGGGAGAGACATCAACACAGGCGTTGGCAATCTAAAGCCTCCAGTAATTCCCAAAATCTTTTCCAGCCCAGGATGAAGCCACTCTGCCATGGTTTCATGCAAGCGTTGGTTCTGCCAATGTGGCTGTCATGCAAACATACCCCCTGGGAGAAAGCTTTTGGTCTCAAACCATCTCTTTCATGGTTTTCTTTGCTTTTTATTCTTTGCACATGGGTGTCAGGATTTAAATAGAAGGGAGCTGATGGCAAAGATCATGTGTGGGAAGAACTTGCCGGCCAAGAAAGGGAGCTTGGCTTTGGGGAGTGTCGACATCATACCAAGACATTTCTGGAAACAGAACAATTCATCTTTAGATGTGGGTGCCAGCGCTGCCCGTGGCTCTTGGTTTAGGTGTAACCACCCTCTGCACAATTTTTTTTTTTTGTTTTTTTGTTGCTTCACGTGTCAAATCCCAATGTTTCACTGCAAAGACAGCTGCGGGCTAATCCGGGCACGGATGCAGGGGTTTGGGTTCACAGTCAATTGCTAATTACTGGGCACTCCAGCATCGAAATTCCCGGAGCAACTGTGCAAATCTCAGCCCGACTATCTGAGATCACAGCTATTTGACCAACACTTAACTTCCTCAGACAGTTAATGGGGAGTTTTCTGGTCTGACAATAACATGGTTAAAGGTCCTTTTTCCAGCCACAGATCAAACGCTTGCGTGCAATCATCTATTCCCAGCAGAAGGCAAAAAAACGCTCTTGTTGAAGAATTTAGTTTCCTGATGAGTGCCTGCTGTGCTAATATCCCTAATCAAGGGTCGTGAGAGCCCAGACAGTGGCAAACCCACATTCCTTAGTGCAAACAAGCCCTTCAGAATCTTTTTGGTGCTAAGGGATAGGAGGGTCCATGCTGGGAATGGGAGACGGGCTGGTTGCTTCTGCAACATCTGGGTTTTAAAGATGGAGTTAAAATTGCCAGGGGACCTTTAAGAGTTAAACCGAAGAAATTAATCAAATGATGTGCATTACTGCAGGAGAGATCCCTCTGTGGGATTTACAGTAGACATCAGAGGGAAAAGTTTGGAAATTTTCCCCCAGAATGTTTTGTGGGTGAGATCCAGGAGTTTTCCTCTGCAAGTCAAGTAGAAGTGATGTGGCAGGAAGATATCTCCATCATCCTTTGTGTTGATGTCACATGGACTGTCGGGCCCTAAGGCTGTCCATGAGATGCTTGTACCGCGTCAGCTCCATATGCATCTTTGCCCCTGACTAAAATGAGGTTTGATTGCTTTGCTGACCCAGCAGTTCCGCAGAACAGGTGAACTCGCAGCCCTGAAATCACCTCTTTGCCTGATGTTTCATATTTTGGGTTCATTCTAGGGCCAGTACTGAAACGGAGTGACTCAAGGCATAGATTAAGTCTAGTTTGTGGGATGAGCCTGGGGGAAACCAGGAAGAGCTGGCTTGGAGAACCTCCAGGTGACCATGTGAAGCAGAAGAGAGGTCACCACCTCCAGTGCTGGGCTCCAGCTTGGTCTTCAATTTTTGTTCTTTTCATGACTGCAGATTTTTTTTTCCAGAACTTGTTGACTTTGCACTTGAATGACTGTGGTGGTAGGAGGGGCAACAGGGACTCTGTTAAACAGAAAGAACTTGTGGTTTCGTCTTGATCTAACCTGTGGATGGTTTTTTTCTCCCCAGACTATCGCACTGGTCCCTGCTTTAGCCAAGTCAATAACCAGATGTGCCAGGGCCAACTCAGTGGGATTGTCTGCACCAAGACCATGTGTTGTGCCACCATTGGACGGGCCTGGGGTCACCCATGCGAGATGTGCCCTGCCCAACCTCACCCCTGCCGCCGGGGTTTCATTCCCAACATTCGTACTGGAGCCTGCCAAGGTAAATGCTGTGAATGCCTAAGAGGATGGTCTCTTATCCATCCTGATGTGCACTGAAAGGGCAAGTGATGGATGACTGTAGATGAGAGAAGCCCCAGTAGAGAGAACAGTTGTCCGTGTAAACTTTGCTGACTCCATCGCTGGATGTCACAGAGCATCACCGTGGACCTTGGGTCTCCCATGGGATCATCTAAGATCATCTCAATTCAATATTCCGGCCATGCTGTGGTTCTTGGTGACATGCTCCATCCCACAAGATGTAGTGAACCAGGCGCATGTTTCTTCAGGCTTAAGACTGCGGTGGTCCATACACCCTTGTTCCGTGGTGCTGCTGTTGTTGTTGGAGCTTCTCTCCCAGCCCCGGGACATGATCAGTGCTCTGTAAATTGTATTCTTGGTTCAAAGCAGAAGCCATGGCATAAACCACATGGTTAAAGGTTGTGTTCAATGTCTAGAGTCCCCAGGAAAAACTATCAGAATGGTCCCCTGAGCTCCACCAGCAGGTCCCAGTGGCACTGTTCCCGGAGCTGCTGGTGTTTCTCCCCAGCAGTGGGTTGCAGGGTCTCCGTTTAGAGTCCCATCAATTCCTTTCTGCATTGGCAACTAATTGGCTTTACCTGCCATGGTCAAAAGCCAGAATTACAGCCCAAATCCCACATGGGCCAGTATCCGTGGGATAAAACCAGGAAGGCTGAAGAGGAAAACTCTCTTGCTGTCTATTGTAATCTATATTTTATGGCCCAATCTCTGCAGGAGAGAAGATTTAATAGACTTGTCACTCACTGTTACTGCAAGAAGAGCTGGAGTACAAATAATATCTGGGACTGAACATTTATCCGTTGCGATGGCTGCACTTTCCAACGTCTTTGCTCTTCTTCCTGCAGATGTGGATGAATGCCAAGCCATTCCTGGCCTCTGCCAAGGCGGTAACTGCATCAACACTGTGGGGTCTTACGAGTGCAAATGCCCCGCGGGACACAAGCAGAGCGAGACCAGCCACAGGTGTGAAGGTAAGGCTGGAGACTTCTGCACGGCTTCTCGGACTGCTCAGCATTCCCAGAGCCAGGCTGGGAGCACAAGGGCAATGGAAAACTTGAGGAAACTCTCTGCTCACAGGGCATCTCCAAGGCTGGCAAAGTGGAGATGTGAAGGAGATCCCCTGCCAGCCTCCATCCTAGCCTCCAGATAGGGGGGAGTACTGCGAGCATCGAGGCATGTTAGAAAATGTGGGCAAGATGGATTTCTGGTCTGTTTGTCTGCTTCCATAGTCCAAGGCAAGGAAAGTGGGAGGTGTCCCTGCCCATGGCAGGGGGGTGGAACTCAATGATCTTTAAGGTCCCTTCCAACCCAAACCATCCTGTGGTTCTATGAAAGGAGGAACAGAGCTTGCCTGATCTTCTCTTAAACTAGAAAGAGTTTTGGTTTTTCATGCAGATGTTTTCTGAAAGATATTTTAGTGGCAATGCAGACTGATTGAGCAGAAGGGACCTCTGGAGGGCTTTAGATCTCTGCTTAGGTCAGGACAGGCTTCAAGGCTCTATCCGGTTATTCAGTCTGATCAAGTTTTGAAAACTCAGAGTGTTTTCTTTTGGGGCTCTGATGGAAGGGAATTTTGCAGCAACTCCTCTTTGCCTCTTCTTCAGCAGAGAAGTTGGAGGAGTTTAAGTCTTTAATTACCTTCTAAAGACAGGTCAGTGGAGGACCCAGCTGCTTTGCCTACACGTACAGGTGCAGCTCTGCTCTGAGCATGTGGGCAAGCTGATCTGCGGTGGTGGCATCAGACCCCCGTGTCTGGAGGGGTGCAGGAGATGGAAAGGACCGGTCCCAGCAGCCCAGCGGGGTCTGGTGAGATGGTGCAGAGAGCTCTGCCGTGTTCAAGGGAAATCCTTTCCAGGTGGCTATTGGAGTTGCTTAGAAATGGCCAAATATCTGATCCTTAGACCAGAGGACTGGTTTCATTTGGGGCATGAAAATTTAGCAATGTTAAGATTAATTGTGGTGGTTAAGGCAGAACTCTGCTTCTGGGAGTTGCTGGAACTTCTCTTTGCTCTTGGACTCAGGAATCAAGGCTCAGCATCTCCTTTATCACTGCTCTCCCATCTCTGCGAGGTGTGCTGACCTCTGGAGGAAGGAGACCCCACGCATTTTGCAGCAGTTCTCATGGGCCAGACCTTGCCAGGCAGGCTGCACCTCTCAGCAGCAGGGGAATAAACATTTGTTGTCTTTTCCAAACATCTGGCAAATGAAAAAGCAAACAGCATTCAACTTTTCCTGCCTTGGTTGTAAAAGCTCTTTCCCACATACCCTAATGAAACCCTGCTGGCCTGTGTTGGCCGTTTTAGGGATGAAATGTGGTGGCTGGGCTGGTGGGACCGCGTCCCACCTAGCTGGGCTTTGGGATCTCCGTTTCCCTTTCATTCCTCTCCAACGCTCTGTTGTAACCAAGGCGAGGGATGATGAATGCGCTAGAATCCAAATGTTTTAACCTGGAATTTGTTTGCCGGTGTCAAAGTTAGACCGAGAGAGCGCTTAAAGCCGTCAGCATCACCGCAGCCCACCTCCATGGCACGGTGGTTCGACGGCGTGCCTTGTCCCGTGGGATTTCTTCAGTCTGTCCTTGGGGAGAGGAGCATCCCCGCTTCCCGGTGACTGTTCCCATACCCCAACCTTCCTGCCATCCAGACGTTTTCCTTGCCAGGATAATTCTAGTAGTCTCTGTGTCGCTGCATGCTGTGTGACCTGGGTTCAGCCCTTCAGAAAAACTTCTCCAACTTTTCCAAAGTGAGACACGAGCTACAGAGGTTGATCCTTTGGTGGGGGGGGAGGATGTTCTTTTATGTCGAGAAGACATCTGTGCCAGTGGGTCTTCCTTGGCAGGATGCCAGGACACTTTCGAAAACTTTAACAGAAGGGGTTCTTGCGAGGACTTGGAACTGGTAGGATCCAGAACAGCCTTTTTACGTGTGTCTTAGGTGAAAACCCAGTTCCCAGTGCCCAGCGACGTCCCATGCAATTTGTCTGGCCGAGGCTGAACTGCACTAGAACCATGGGCACAACCTCAGGACGCACACAAAAAAAAATTGTTCTTGCCTTGGTCTGCCTCACCCGTGCTGGCTGGGGACCAGGCGAAGCACATCTGAAATCAGTTTAGCTGGAATCTCCTCTAGACCGAGATTAAAAACAATCCATTGTCCGGATCTGTCATCCAGATGCAAGGGGCCTCCGCGTGGGTCCCCGCTTCCCCGAACGCCTGCAAAAGCAGCGTGATGTGGCCATAAACAGCTTCCTTTCACTCTCCTGCCTGGATGGCCATAAAAAGAGACATCGCCAGCGTCTGCGGGGTCTGTTCCATCACTTATCTTACCCCGGTTGCGAAGGAGACCACCAAAAGAGGATGCTTCCCTTGGTGTGATTTACCGACCTGGGGGTCCTTCTGGGAGAACGGGATAAACAGGAGAGATGCTCGAACCCCCCCAGGGCTGGGATTATTTTTGAGGGCTCCTTTCCCAGCTGTGAATCGCCA